ATTAAGCAGTAAGAATAAATTGCGTAAGTTTGTATGCATTCTCCCTAATGGTTGTGATGGTAGAAAATGTAGTGTTTATTTCCCAAATATTAGACCCACCATCTTTGTCTATTACCACTTTCAAGTCATTTTAGCTACTTCTTTTTTATTTTTAGCTTGTTACTAAGGAACTACTGCCAAACATATCAAATGTGATAAACTGTGCAAAACAGGGACTGTCACAACTCATTCATTTTCTCCTCATGCTTGATATCAGTTCTGAGTGCTATAACCCTGAACTATTTTCAGCCATCCAAGGGCAACTGCCCTTTGAGATTTCTTCCTTACATGATCTATCAGTGATGAGGTCCTCAAATGAGGTTTCATAAGCAATGTAGGCAGATGACCATATGTCTTTATATATTTTACAAAGCATAAGCACTTCCTGGGCCTCGTTAACAAACATTACTAGTCTACAATTGTGGCTTGAGCACCTGCTTTCAGATGAATTACTGGTCTCTCCTGATTTCATGAAAAACAGTTTTTCTCTTGGTATTGTAGTAATAATGAGGGCTGGCAGCCATGTTGAATTATAATAAAAAAGGCATGAGCGCTAAGGGGGTTCAGCAAGAACATTCACTGTACAGAGTCTTCTATCTATCAGACTATCTCCAGTGGGGATCCCTTGGCAGAAACACACAGGAGCATGAAAGTCTCAGAGCTGTGAATTATTAGTTCCTGTCACAAAGTCTGAAAGACGCTCCCGTGGGGGCTAAGGCAACTCTGATAAAAATGCTAATTCATTGTAGCTTTCTATGTGGTGAACGTCAAGGAAGGCTGGTTAAAAAACCTCACACACAAGCCCCGTCAGGACCAAAGTGTTAAGGTATCCGTAGGCCACTAGGCAACTCGTTCTGTGTTGCCGCTAAGGTAGAAAGAGAGGGGTGGTCTGCCTCACTTGTGATTTGATCCCAGAAATATTTTAAACTAGGGTGTGGAATACATTATTAAATTAGCTTCTGGTGCAGGGAGATTTCTGCATGGTAAGAAAGATAACCATTTATTATTGGCCTTTTAAAAATAAAATAAAAAGCACACTGATTTTTAAAGCACTGTGCAGAGAGGCAGTTGCGTTTACAGATAATTTTTTGATGTAATGTCAGTGGAAGCTATCTAGATGTTGCCTTCCATTTTGGTTCTGAAAGACAACTGTTTTCTTGCATGCTTCAGCATGCAAGAGGTACCACCACAGCAATTATAAACAGAGATGGAAAACTCAGTTTCTTTCTAGTCTATACTATTTTCTCATGTGAAATACTGATAAGTATTTCAGGCCTGTTTTTTCCAATATAATCTGTGATTTAAAACACACATTGTCATTCCAGGAAACTAACTCGTGCAAAAAGATCAAAGTTACTGTTACCTACCAACTAAAATTCACACGCACACGCACACACAAACACAATTTCAAAATGTGGTTGAGTCTTTTTAAAGTTCTTAGCATAGTCCAATAACTTTCCTCTCTCTGGTCCCACAATTGACTTCAGCCATGAGTCAGTCTCAGCAGCCAGAGGGGCCAGCAGATGAGGACTGCAACCAGATCACCTTGACACCTCATCAGACTGCAACCACCATTGCCCTCCAGGTAGCAGGTAAGCAGTCATTTCGACATACAACCTTAAATACATTGTACATATAAAGAAATGTCATTTGAATGGAATAAGCATTGGATCAAAATGTTTCAAATATTCCATGTGTAATTTTTATATATAGTTGTCTTTATCATTACTCTAGTCCAATGTCCTTTTTATCATCTCTCTTTTCTTTACAGATAAGCTCTGTGACTATACCTAATAAAGACAATTCATCTTATTCATGCGTACTGTTACAGTGTATTTCCTTTTGCTGCCAAAACAAGAGACTTGTGGCACCTTAAAGACTAACAAATTTATTATGCTGTAAACATGCATAGACTAGAGGCCCACTTCATCACAAGTGTGAAGTGCTCTCCCAAATTGGCAGGCATATGCTTGTGGTTGCGGTGATAGGGATTGTAAGCAGTGAGGTTGGAGGGAAATAAAATTCAGAAAATGCAGGCTGTGACAATTGCGTTACTTATATTTTATGGAGTGGTTTGAAGGCTGCTTTTTAACCTTTTCCCTCTTTCTTTAACAGGTTCTTGCAGCTTGGAACAGCTAGCAAGTACTGCAGCGGCTGAGGCACATCTTGCAAATAGGGTTGCAAAGCCCCTGGGGGAATGGTATGTGCCAATTTAGTGTCTCCTATTAACTTTGCATGGAGAATTCTTCAAGAGGAAAAAGGAGCTGGCTGAGCCCATCTACCTACCCATTGTGGCAGCCATCTTTTTTCTGTATAATGCATAGTTTGGGAGGAATGCAGATAATGGAATGGGTGATATTTTGATGCACAACTTGATTTGGATCAGCTGGCTTTGGCCTGGAATGCAGACTCGCCCACCTCAAAAAAACCTCAAACTTGCTTGCACATGATTGTACTTTTCTGGTGGTACATATCCTCAGCAAGCCTCTTTCTTTGTGCTTAGCCTACTCCTACAACTATCAGAGAGGCATCAAATTCTCCAGTCGAAAGGGTAGCAAATGAGAAATGTTAGGCTTCCCATTTCTGGGAGCTGTCTTGGGAAATACCTTCAGAAATGTTGAAAGGCAGAGGGATCAACTGGGATCAGAGCTTTAAATGCTCCTTGATATGATTTGAGGTACGAGATCAAAAAAAGAATTGTTAAAAGTTTAAAGTGCTAAATTTGCTCGGTCTTGGCGTGAGCAGCCAGGGTGCACTGCCAGCAAAAGTCTGGCATAAGAAGCTCTACCAAAGGCTGCCTGCCATGGAGGGCAGAAGAGAGCTGTTTACATATAGATTCCCTTTCTGGCTGGAGTTTGTTTCTGAGTGTACAGTACATACTAATGTAGCTGGCACAACAAGAAACAAATCAAACTAAGCAAATGCTAAAGTGGAAAAGAGCTGTTGGAGATTTCTCATCCAAGTGGGAGGCATTGCAAAACAGGAATTCTGTATCATAGAGCACAGAGCTATATACAAGCATTGTCCCATTCTAGAGCCACTGTGGTGTAGTAGCTAAAGTATTGGACTGGGTTGAGGGATAGACCATGTTTAATCTATAATTTTATCTTTAAAATTATTCTTGGTAAAATTCCCTATCTTCTTTTGTACGCAAGACCCTCAGACATGCAATGTTACTTTAAAAAATAATAATAATGCAAAAATATCTATCACACACAGGAAGATTTTTGTGCATACCTTGGGTAGCAGCATAACCTCCAACATTTCTTTGATGAAAACAAGGGTGTCCTATTATATTATTATTATTCCCCACCCATCTGACTGGGTAGCTTCCAACACATATAAAAGCACAATAAAACATTTAACATTTTTTAAAAAAACTTCCCTATACAGGGCTGCCTTCAGATGTTTTCTAAGGGCTATATAGTTACTTATCTCCTTGGCTTAGGGTTTGCATAGCTTAATACCTTCAAACATTTCTCTGATGAAAATAGGGGTGTCTTAAGGAAAAGCGGGACATTTCAGGATCAAATCAGAAACCAGGATGGCTTCTGTAAATCCATGACTAGCCCTGGAAAATAGGGGTACTTAGAGGGTCTGAGAGAGGGGTTTCAGTGTTTGCAGAAACTAGCCTGGTGTGCAAAGGATAAATTTACACTTGTTGGTCTGTTGACTTTTGCCTTTGGCCCTCACTACTACTGGAATGTGGCCCTCAGAAGACTGCCAAGAAAGGAATGTGCCCCCCCCATCTGAGAAATGTCCCCCACGTTTGCTCTGTGTGTAATGGAGGAGTACATAAGCCTGAAGCTGCATGAAAGGGTACCTTCTTGCGCTGGGGATAAACTGGGCCTGATATAAGACTATTTGAATTTTTGTTTGTTTTGACGGATAGGAATTCAGGCTAAAATCCTACGCTTGTTAAGGGAGTCAGCAAAAGTGGACACAACTGAACTCATCTCTGAGTAAGCATGTATAAGGCTGCAAAGTCAGTGTGTTATTTCAAATAAGTGCATCCTTTTATAGAGCTCCCATTTTAGAAGGAAAAACAGAAAGCAACTTCCCCCCTTCAAGCCAAGCAGACGCCGAGCTCTGAATCTCAAGGCTCAAAATAGAATCTGTTGTGGAAGAAGGAAGAGCATGTAGCAGTACTCCAGTTTTTCTAATTAATTTGAAATGAGAAATCAAATAGTTTGTGCCTATTGGGTATGAATAATTTTACAGCGTACATTTATGATCAATTAAATTAAACTTTCAAATCAAAATGGCATAAATTATCTACAATGGAATATTAAACTAATGATTTATTGGCAAGGCATCACTAATACATATGCTATTATAGATTTGCATGCTGTGTAAGGATATATCTCATCATGAACTGTGCTATCCTTTGACTTTTTAATGAAGATGCTTTTAATATCATTATGATTGCTACTCAACTTTTTTTTGTTATTTCCTAGATGTCAAATGCTTTTAAATAAGAGAATCTTGCCTCAATACTTAAACCACTTTTAAAAATTAATTATGCTATTTTTATGTTGTGTTAATGCTGACACTGGGGGTGCCTGAAGTCAGTGGTGTGTGGTCAGTGGACTAGCAAGACTAGTCCTGGTAATTTAGAGCGTTGAAGTACAGTGGTACCACAAGTTAAGAACTTAATTCGTTCTGGAGGTCCGTTCTTAACCTGAAACTGTTCTGAAGCACCACTTTAGCTAATGGGGCCTACTGCTGCACAATTTCTGTTCTCATCCTGAAGCAAAGTTCTATTTCTTGGTTAGCGAAGTCTGTAACCTGAAGCGTCTGTAACTTGAAGCATCTGTAACCCGAGGTACCACTGTGGCGTTTACCTGTTTGTTTGAAAAATGTACAGGGGGAGAGAAAGGGTTAATATGTAAACCAATAGGAAAGCTGGAGGCGGAGCCTGCCTGTATATAAAAGGGCTTAGCCCAAGGTTTGAGTTAGTTGTTGGTGGCTGGTTTTAGTTGGGTAGGTTGGTTGGGAAAGGCAGTTGGAAAAGCAGTTGGCAGGCAGTTGGAAATAGAGAGACAGTTAGTGCAGTGGGTTCTTGTGTGAGGGGAGGTAGAAGAGATAGAGACAGGATAAAACAATACTAAGAAGGTAAAGAGTAACTACGTTTGGAATGCAGTTAAAGTTTGTTTGTGTCTGAAATAAACTACACTCTTCTTTGTTAATTTGAGAACATAACTGAGACTAAGTGATTTACCAGGGAGGACCTGGTTGGTGGCAGCAGATTAGTGGTGTACGGGTCAATAGTCCGTGAGACGACCGGGAGCTCCATATGAACGCTACAGCCACTGTATTAGAGTATTAAAGCCTAGTGCCTCCTTCCCAAAGCTCAGGAAGCTTCTGCACGACTTAGGGAGGGAGGCATGACGATTTGACAGGGTGCAAGAGCCCTCCTGCCACCTTCCCAAAGCCTACCCTCAGTTATCTGTGGCAAGTGCAGGTTAAAGCACATAAGGCCTTTAAGAACCATATTGTCAGGAAACCATTGTTTAATGTCTGGGTGAGATATAAGGATTTGTTGGAAAGTAAAACACCAAGGTGGCTGTCACCAATGGAGGCTAAGGCTCTGAAAAAAACTAATATGGAGATAAATTGGCCAAAATACTGTGAAATTTTAGAACAAGATGGAGATAGATTAAAGCTGCAGAGCTTTGACAAATTAAAAACTAAAGTTCGAGACTGGCTTCATTATTATCAAATAAGGGAGGCTTATAATTTAGATAAGAAGATTGGTTTCCAGGAGGAAAAATCAAAATTGGAAACAGAATTGTTAGATCCCAAAACTAAGAATCTGTCAAGAATGTATAATTTGCTGTTGAAATGGAATACGCAGGATGAAACGGTTAAATCTGTTATGATTAAATGGGCACAAGATTTTGGACATAACATTATGTTTGCTGACTGGGAACAGTTATGGACCACAGGTATGAAATTTACGGCTTGTGATGCCTTAAGAGAAAATATAATGAAAATGATTTACAGGTGGTACTTAACCCCAGTCAAGCTAGCAAAAATCTATCATTTGCCAGATAGTAAATGTTGGAAATGTAAAGAGACTGAGGGCACATTTTTTCACCTTTGGTGGACATGCCCAAAGATTAAGGCTTTCTGGGAAATGATATATAATGAACTGAAAAAGGTATTTAAATATACCTTTCTGAAGAAACCAGAGGCCTTTCTTCTGGGCATGGTCGGCCAATTGGTGCGAAGGGAGGATAGAACTTTCTATATGTATGCTACAACAGCAGCAAGAATACTCATCGGGAAGTACTGGAAGACACAAGAATTGCCCACCCGAGAAGAATAGCAGATGAAAGTGATGGACTACATGGAACTGGCTGAGATGACCGGCAGAATTCGAGACCAGGGAGAAGGGTCGATGGAAGAAGATTGGAAAAAATTCAAAATATATCTTCAAAAGTACTGCAATATAAAAGAATGTTAGAAAGAGGTTGGAAAAAGAATATTAGGTCGTTCTGGTAGATATGATATAATGGACTAAGCAAAAATGAGTTGATGAAATTGATGAATTAGAGGAGGTTTAATCACATTACTTTAATTTTAAAATACGTAAATGAAAATAAGGTTAGAAGGATTTGCTGGAAACACGATCTGAACTAGAATACAAAACTGGGAGGTGAGAGGAGGTCATGGAAATAAGTAAAGGGAAAAGGCTATGTAAAGGTTTAATCTGTTTTTGTTTTATTTTAACTCAATGTATCTTTATATTTTTTGTTAAGTCTTCTTTTTTATTGTATCTTATTGTTCTTTTTTACTTGTTTATTTCTTGCTTTGTTATGGTTAAAGATTTCTTTGTATTTTGTATGGTTTTTCTTTTTCTTTTTTGTAACTTTAAATCTGGAATAAATATTATTTTTTTAAAAAAAAATATCTGTGGCAAGTGCATGTTTCTGTTATACATAGTGTCATATTCCTCAACCCAGGTACTTGCAGTGTGTGGCAGAGAACTCTTATTGGGACAAAGCTCGGGCTGCTTCCTTGGGGTGGAGGCAGGGATGAGATGATCAGTATCATGTCCTGAGTATTCATGCAGATATAATTTATTAGTATACTAATATGACTAATTGACCAAGATTTCTTTTCTCAGCTGACGTATTTTGGGAGCTTAGCGGAGGATTTAAAATCCTAATTGCACTGGCTATTCATAGGCTCCGATTACACTGGTACTTGCAGATGCTTCCTTGTTGTCCTTGTATGGGGAGGAAAAGGCTCCGCCTACACAAGTAACTGATTGGTAGAAGAGAGAACGGAGTTCCATATGCAGGGGTTTGGCCATATTTGGAAATGAAAGTCAGAGATGTAGCCATTGCTGAGTACAAAAATATGGCTATGATTCAAACTGCCTCTTCAGAGATGTGAGCTTGGCCAGGCTTCAAAAGGAACTTCACTGGTGAGGTGGATTATTTAAAAGAAAGAACATTGAGTGGTGGGAAGAAAATGCTTCTTGCAATCTCTGGCTATGTGGAACAATCTCATTTCATAGAATTCATAGAATTGTAGAGTTTGAAGGGACCCCAAGGGTTATCTAGTCATAACAGGATGAGGAACATCAGACCTAGAGGTGCCATATGACCCTCTAGGCATCTAACTCTGGTCCTCAATACTCTAACTCTCTCACTTCTTCACATCCCTACTGATTTTGCTATTTAAAACTAGGCTAAGTTAAAATTTGCATTCATTGATCCACCCATTTTTCTCTCTGACTTCACCCACCAGAAGGGAATATGATCCTCAGGCTGAAAAACAAGTTTCCTACTCCTACGTTATTGTCTCACTTGAGAAATTACTAGATAATATTGTAAAGCACTTTGGATTTTTTTAATGATATAGCAGTATGTAAATATCTTTATGAATGAATGAATGAATGAATGAATGAATTGGCATTGAGAGATTATGTTCTGGCCCAGATTTCACCCTGTCACCATGTGAATGATTTTGGGGAGTTTGTAAGAGCACTGATGGAATCAAAATCTGAATAAACTTGGAAGGCGTCACCAATGTTCTGACATCTCCACTCAGGGTGTTTCATCGTCTCATTCAGCTGCCTTGATCTGTGGGATCCCAGAGGTTTAAACAGGTGATCCCATGTGTTGCAATAACACACAACCCAGCCGAGAAAAGGTGGTTGGTGGGAAGCAATGGTGTTGCATTTCAACAAGTCTTTCCAAAGCCATTCTAGGAAGTGTGGATGGTAAGAAATGGCAGAGAGGAACCTGCACTGAAGGACCTTTGCTCTAAAATACAAATAAAATGAGCAATAAACACTTGGCCTTTTTGAAGGGTTAAGGTGAGCAACAGATACTACCTCCATACCAGCACCACAGTGCCAATTGATTTGGTCCTTTCTAGGATTCTACCGACGCGTTTGATGCAATGCAATATCCCCCTGCCAAAGATGATTTGCAACCACAAGGAGCAGTGATTAAGTGCTTCCTTTTTGGCAGTGAGGGGACATTTAGTCCTCCAGATTTCCCAACTTAATCCCTCCCATTGTTAATTATTCATTCCACCTCTTCCTTTTGCTGTTGAGAAGGCAAGGCTGACATTTTGGAGGTAAAGTGGATATGCAATTTACTGCTTGCTGCAGCCCTTGCTCTGATTTTTCTTCATCTTGACTTTTTTTTTTAACATGGAGAGCTTTAGGTTTGGTAGCAATGATATATGGCTCTGATCCCCAACTTTGGCTCCTCGCTCCATATCTGTGTGGAAGACGCACTTCCCATTTTCTGCCCTTTTCTCCAGCCCCCTTCTAAGAGAAGATGCAGCCATTAAGCTGTCATTTTTTATTGTTTTGCTGCAGCAGTGATTGTGTTTTACAGCACTTCTCCATTGTTTTCAGCTTTGTATCTTGATAGCAGGTGCTCCTCCCTACTTCATGAGCTCCTTGTTATGAACCAGAATAGCAGCACATTAATATTGATAAAATCTCTGGGGAAAACCAAAGGAAATGGCATGTTTATCTTCAATGGGGCGCATTCACTGTCTTCTAATGAGGAAAAGCAAGCTTCTATGAAACACTTTTCTATGCAGAAGAGAGTCCCACCCGCTCCTGTTGAGTTTATATACCCTGTAAATAACAGAGGATCACCACAGCCATCTTGATTCAGTCAAGGTAAGAATTTTTCAGTCCTGCCCCAGGGGTTTGGGGGGAACATTTCCTAAATTTTTCTGGAAGTAGCTTGCATCAGCCTTCCTTCCTTCCTTGCCTCCCTATCTGGCCCTTTCCCCAAGTCACACAGTTCATACTTTTCATATCCCTCTGACCTTATTTTTTTTTTACGATCGCCCACACCCAGACGTATACAGTGGTACCTCTGGATGCGAATGGGATCCGTTCCGGAGCCCCGTTTGCATCATGAGCAGAATGCAACCCGCGTCTGCTCATGCACGGGTCGTGATTCGCTGCGTCTGCGCATGCGCGTGATGTCATTCTGTGCATCTGCGCATATGCAAGCAGCAAAACCCGGAAGTAACCCATTCCGTTACTTCTGGGTCGCCGCGGGATGCAACCTGAAAACGTTCAACCTGAAGCGACTTTAACCTGAGGTATGACTATTTGTACTGGCAACTCCAGGACAACATGCATAAATGTGCTAGCCTTGAGTTTCTTCACCATTCTTATTGTGTTTTCCTTGTGCTGGAATGTATAATTGAACTCCAAAAGGTGCTTCTTGCTCACCTGGCTGCACTTTGCAGAGGGGCAGAGTTTCTGCATGAAAAAACTAGCCTACTGTCCAAAGATAACATTTGTATTCATTGTCCCACCCGCTTTTACCTCTGGACCTGCCCACCACTAGCATGTGATCTTGTAGACTTGTAATCTAATGTGCATGGATCCTCAGCCATCTTCTGACATGATCTGGATTCTTGAGGAGTCAGCAGGACTGATCACTGCACATTCAACATTGTAGTCCTACTTACAGTGACCCCTTCCTCAGGAGCAAGGGAAATTGATCACAACTTTATTGATTCCTAATGTAGGTAGGATTTGGCTTAGGCCAGGGGTCAGCAAACTTGTTTAGGAGGGGGCTGGCTCACTGTCCCTCAGACCTTGTGGCGGGCCGGACTGCACGTGCACGGTGGAGAGGGGCTTCTCTCTCTTTCCCCCAGCCCCTCCCCTCCCCCTACTTTCCTACCTCCTCCACTGCTCTGCCTGCAGTTGGGAGCCAGTGGCGGTGGTAGTGCCTCTCCTTTCTGGGCAGCTTTCCGGCGTGCCAGGTGCGGGGCCTGCAGGCGTGCCAAGCTCCAGCCAAAGCCCCGCGATGTGCCCGTCACGATGCCCACAGCGCGGCCATGGACTGAGAGGCGGGCGGGCGGGTGGTGAGTCTAGGCCGCACTGCAGCGCATGGGTGGCGAGGCTTCGGCTTGCCTGGCACCAATCAAAGCCCAGCTCCCTTCCTCCGCAGGGTGGGGAGAAGCCAGGAGGAGGGAGGAGGCACCGCTGTGGTGTGAGGAAGGGAGGGAGGTGGGGAAATGGCAAAAAATGGTGCCCCCCATGGCAAAAAAATGGCGCAACCCGAACGATCATGCCAATCCAAGTGGCGATTCCAGGACCATCTGCAGGCTGGATCCAGAGGGCAATGGGGCCTGATCCGGCCCATGGGTCTTAGTTTACTGACCCATGGCTTAGGCATTGGGTGTGTATCCCTCCCACCCTCCTGGTGGAGGACTGAGGCATGGCAGGGTCAATCATGGAAGTTATGGGTCCATCACAAGACACAGGCCTATATGGATGGCCCTCCACTGAAGGGAGCTCTATGGCCTACCCAAGGGGTAGGTCGGAGTGAAGCCTGCTCCACTCCAAGCCCCAACCCATGGACTGGTCTGATAAGCTGGAATTCAAAATTGGGACTGGTGGGACTGGTGGGACTCCTGCCCTTCTCCGTGGCCGGCACGGGGATTTCCCAACTGTCGGCAACCCAGCCCAGCATTGCTCCTGGGTGTCAGGCCAGTCGTGACAGGCTGCAACTGCCACCCACCGGAGGACTAGGTAAGCAGCCATTATATTTGCATCTGAGACTCCATGCACACAACAGCACATATGATCAGGTTTTATACCCTAGGACATGGGTAACATTTCTATTCCCTTTGCATCTTGCATTATCATTTGCTGCATGATTTGAAAGCCCATGCCAACGGCATCACCTGTGGCTGTTGCTGATCCAGACCCAGCTGGGCTTGATCTGGGTCACAGCTGCTTCAAGGAGGGCATTTGCAGGGGAAAAAAGAAACAGCTTTAAAGAAATGCTGTGTTATACTTAGCAATATTCTTAGGTTTCATTTATCCACCGGCACATGAACAACCATCTGATGCCATGCTGTGCCCCTTCCAATGACATTTGACTCTTGGCTGATCCTTATGTCAAACAAACCTTAATAGAATGAATAATTTAGAGGAGTGTAATTTGCCCATGGTACTATAACTTACTGTCAATTTGTGATAATGATTCAAAAAAGAAAAGGGGGGGGGACACCAGTGTTCAAAATGGAACAAAATGATAGGAAGGGATGTTTGGCTCTAAGATGTCACACTGGTCCCCTTTTCTGAAGACAGAACATAAAATTTAAGAGTCCTTTGATTTGTTAAATGGTGTCAGACAAAAGAAAAGCTTTCACTGCCTGGCATTTCCAGACCTTTTCAATCTGCTGCAGAAGAGCAGCATAAAATTGCACTGAGAGATCATTGCGGCAATTATGTCCTTGTGGACATAGATATGCAGAGGACTTGCCACGTTTTGATACATGCTGCTCTAAGCTACATTTGCATTTCGTATTACGAATAGGTAGGTATATATCTATATATCATGACCTTTGGGAAGCAACCAAACTCCCCCTCATTCTTTCTCAGAAGCAGCACAGAAATTAGAGTCCTTGTTGAACAACCAGTTTAAAATGGTGGGTAGCTAGTTCACTGAGGCGGTGTGTGGGGAGGATATACATTTTAGATGCCTTAAAAGGCTTTATCTTTACAAAAAAACATGTTTGGAAAGTTGCTAGGGCCCCAGTGCCCCCAAAGAGTCTGCCACTGATATGTGTTCTGTGTCCTCTTTAGGAATGGAAAGGTTTGTGAGAAACTAGCATTGACATTCCACACAGTGCATCTAAAAAGTCGTTAACATTCTGTCACGGCTTAAAATTAGCTGCTGTTTCTTTAATACAAAAGGAACTGAGTCAGCATGAGTCAGCGGCCTACAATGAATCGGCAAAGCCTGTATGACTCATGCAACCTGTAACCTACATATGTCTGTATATATAGAGTGGTCATTGATTGTGTGTTGGGTTGGTTGGTTGGTTGGTAGCTGGTTGCGTTTGATATGTATAAAGCTGTCGGTCGTGCTTGGAGAAGACTTTTTAGAATAAAAGCAGCATTCTGCAAAGTACTCTTTGTGCTGACTAGGGTCTGAGGACCAGGCAAAGGAGGTCAGAACCATTTCCTTTTCAAACACTGACACATTCTCCCTCTTTTCCCACCCCCAGTTTTCTAGTTTCTTTCCCCAGCAGTTAGCATTCTGTGTTCACTGAGCATCCTCAGTCCTCATTCAGCCATTTTGGGGGATTTCTCCATCCATTTGTTGTTTTACCTCCAAATATTTTTGTACTTCTGAAAAACTCCCAATAACCTCCCCTCTTGTCTGTGAATGTGTGACATTTTAGCTACAGAAGAACAGGCATTCAGCAACTGAGGCACTTGGATAGACAGGATCGTTGCGGTACCCCTAGTTATTTTGCTGTCCTGTTTATTTACTTGGGCATACAGTGGTACCTTGGGTTACAGATGCTTCAGGTTACAGACACTTCAGGTTACAGAGTCCGCTAACCCTGAAATAATACCTTGGGTTAAGAATTTTGCTTCAGGATGGGAACAGAAATTGGGCGATGGCAGCGGGAGGCCCCATTAGCTAAAGTGGTACCTCAGGTTAAGAACAGTTTCAGGTTAAGAACGGACCTCCAGAGCGAATTAAGTTCTTAACCCAAGGTACCACTGTACTTCCAGTGAGGCAGTTCTGCAAATGGAAGCTACTATGAGAAGGAAAGTAACTGCAGCATAGGCCTACCTTGGGTTTTTACACATTCCAAACATCCTGGGCTGTTCCCTAAGACCCTTTTAGCTCTGATAGCATGTACTTAAACCTGTGGCTTTCTGCATGAAAGGCATGCACTCTCCCACTGAGTTCAGCATATAACTCCTCAACATTTCACAGACAAAACTAGAAACACCTATGGGTGGGTGAAACTGACGTGCCATCGCCAGAGGAGGAAAAAACTTAAACCCGTAGCAGAGTTCCTAAAAAATAGACCAGAGGCAATTGTACTTCATCCTGCAGAGGGTTTGCTGGTAATGAAGGCAAATGAGCATAAATGGTCACAAATCCAATACATTCAGGATTGGCACAGTCCATAAAAAATCCAGTTGCAGCACTTACAATAAAACTTACAATACTTATAAGAAGACTATAATATAAGAAGACTATAATATAGGTTCATCCTGTTAATTGAGCAGTCATTCTGATTTGTTTGGAGAGAGGTTGTACAACAACAAACATCCTGATTTACTTGCAGGGTGTTTATACATCTTCCCATTAATAATAATAATAATAATAATAATAATAATAATAATAATAAATTTTATTTATATCCCGCCCTCCCCAGCCGAAGCCGGGCTCAGGGCGGCTAACAACAATCAAATAATCAAACAATCAAATAATCCAACATTCTAAAAACATTTCATTATAAAAATTAATTAAAATCAAATTAATGGCAAACGTTGAGCAAAATTCTGTGCAGTTGCCAGAGGAGGGAGTCAGGCTGGGCCCTGACCAAAGGCCTGGTGGAGCAACTCTGTCTTGCAGGCCTTGCGGAAAGATGTCAGGTCCCGCAGGGCCCTAGTCTCTTGTGACAGAGCGTTCCACCATTTAACCATTTGCTACATTGCACACTTTTCAGGGTGTTTCCCTCTCACTTTACTAACC